CCACGAATTTTTATACGCGATTATCATAGCAACCGGCGTGACGGTGCGCAGGGGGTGCGCAGAATCACACGCGAAGCGGTCTAACGCGGCGCTATTACCATGAACTTTACAATAACAGCGTGAAAAAAAATCGTCGTTACACTTCAGAGATTCGTAAACAATTTCGCGTAATTTCAAGGACACGCATCGTGAGAAAAATCCCGAGATTATACTCTGAAAAAATGCGTAGGGTTAGAATCACAGTGACGCAACACGGATTTTCCTCGTTGCGAGAAGCAACGATTGTTATTGTTTACTAGCTAGCATGCGTATTGTTTACCGAGCAAATTTATTGCTCGGATAATTTACATTTCGCGCAATACGGTCGGAGGTTGTTCGCGCGGTGGCCGCAATGTTTTAAGGATGTTGCATCACTTTGCGAAAATGGACACAACTTATGAAGTATCAGACAGTTGAATTAAATTACAAGATATACATATTGCTTCATTCAATTTAGAACTTTTAGCTGTTTCGTTTTATTCAGAATTATTAGTCGCTTCGTTTTATTTCGAATTTTTAGTTGCTTCGTTTTATTTAGATTGAAATGCGCGAAGAGATCTTATGGTTGCATTTTTTACTTTAAATTGCCTTCCACGAGAAAATGACTACTTTTAGTAAACCGGACGGTAATGCGTTAATTTATAGTAACTTAATGATTTATTTCACTTGGCTTTTTAACATTTTGGCAAGTATTGGCAAATATTTTCTTTAGAAAATATTTAATATTTTCAAGACTGACAATAAGATTTTTTGATAACAACGTTATCGAAGATAACGTATATTTATACATTTATATTTATAATATATATAATATAAATATTTATATTTATAATATATGTAATATAAATATTTATATTTATAATATATGTAATATAAATATTTATAATATATATAATATTTATACATTCTATTGAAATATAACAATGTAATGTAATGTGTAAAATTAAATTTTTATAAAGCTAATCGATAACTGTTCCGCACACATAAGTCGAGACATTCGAAACGAAATCTAAGCCAATTCAAACGGCAACCGCCGGATGATGCTCCGAACGATGCGTAAATTGAAACGCACAAATTAGTAGGACGTTTTATTGGACGAGCCAACACAATTCTTAAATGAATTGGGTAGCTTCGAGGTTGCGGTCACCCGTTGCCACGCCGCCGGGTTCTCGATTCCGAGCCGGCGCAAAAGCTGTTTACCCATCGCCGGTCCGTCGAATTAATTACCGGAATGAAATTACGGTGGAGGGCCGAGCCGGGGCTCCCGTCGACGGCCCTCGAAAAATTCTGTAGTCGGTGCGTGCCGCGCGGCGGCGGCGGCCCGGGCCTGCTGGCCGGCTGTACGTTTTCAACGGCGACACACTTTCCGTAATGAAAAAAGTCCCGCGGAGGTAAACCCGCGGAACAGAAATTGATAAACACGCGCCGGGTATGTAGGCCGCCGCCGGAGCCGCGGCCGGCCCGCCGGGTCTAACTCACTCGATGCCTTCGTTTCGACTGGCATACCTTCGCCGCACCGAATATAAGTGACCTTCTTTCATTTCGGTTCCCTCACGGGTTGCCCTAACGGCGCACAATGTCTTTCCAGACAATGCCGCGAACTCGGATTCGAGACCTGGGTCCTCGCGAAAATCGCATGGCGACTCGAAAAGGTTTACAGTGATGTCTCTCTAATTGACGCTCAGATTGTCCACAATAATGGAGAATTCGAGAAGAGGAGATACGATTATTCGAGCCGCCTTGTGGTTTGTCTTTACAGTTACGAATTGTCAATAATTATAAAAACGAGTCGCAAGACTCGAATAATTGTATCTCCCCTTCCCAAACTGTCCATTTTTGTGCAGAATCTGAGCGTCAGTAAGAGAGACATTATTGTACAGTAATGTCTCTCTAATTGACGCCCAGATTGACCACAAAAATAGACAATTTGGGAAGAGGAGATATGATTATCCGAGCCTTACGGTTTATTTTTATAGTTATAAATTTTCCACAACTATAAAAACGAGTCGCAAGACTCGAATAATCGTGTCTCCTCTTCCCAAATTGTCCATTTTTATGCAGAATCTGAGCGTCGGTAAAGGAGACATTACTCTACAATAATGTCTCTCTAATTGACGCCCAAATTGGTCACAAAAATCGGCAATTTGGGAAGAGGAGATACGATTATTCGAGCCTTGCGGTTTATTTTTATAATTATAAATTGTCCACAATTATAAAAACGAGCCGCAAGGCTCGAATAATCGTATCTCCTCTTCCAAAGTTGTCCATTTTTATGCAGAATCTGAGCGTCAGTAAGGGAGACATTACTGTATTGCCCGACACGAGGACCTCTTCTAATACGTGACCCTAGCTTATTTCCGTTGCTGTAGATGTCTCGAGTGTCGCATCGACCCTTTTTTGTTGCACAGATGAAGAACAACGTCGAGAGAAAATTGACTTTTACAGACTGGCAGGAAGGGCGGTCGTCGTTGTACATTTTAAGGGGGTGAAGTTTCGAATAAATGCGACGATTCGAAGGAATGAAATTTTATGCGCTTGTGGTTATGCCAATAGAAATCATTACGACCGACGGAAACAGCTTTTGATTGCCAATTATGTACGCGTACACCGTTATAATTGATAGAAATAGTTTTTTGATATCGGCAACAACCATTAGAAATGATGGAAACAGTTTACGGATAACCATTATACGTACAACCAGACTGCGGTTTTTATGCATTTATGAGAAAAAAAGGAGTATATATTAACGCTTTAATGGCCGCGCGTCCACGCAGTCGGACGTCGCCAGGGGCCGGCAATATTTTTGAAGAATTAACGTAAAAAGACTTTGTGTAAATTCGTGAAATAATTCAGCATATTCGAACGTACACCGTAAAACAAGAAAGCAACAACGACAACAATAACAGCACACATTTGATACAGTAAATTTAATATTTTTCCTTTGTGTGATAATTATTAAAGCATTGCGCACATGTTATGCGAGCGGCCATTAAAGTGTCGAGAGAATTTAAGAGCGTCATTATTAGCATTTCCATGCCAGTCAAATTGTTGAAGAAAGAACGAAGTTTCCAGCTGACAACAACTGGAATACAATTTTCATTTCGCACGAAGATCCGCAGTCCGTGCACAACGTGTACAGTAATGTCTCTCTAATCGACGCTCAGATTGTCCACAAAAATGAACAATTTGGGAAGAGGAGACACGATTGTTCGTGCCTTGCGGTTTGTTTTTATAGTCACGAATTTGCAACAATTATAAAAACGAGCCGCAAGGCTCGAACAATCGTATCTTCTCTTCCGTTCCTATAGACAATCTGAGCGTCAATTAGAGAGACATTACTGTACGTATAAATAGAAAAATAATATTATAGAACGACATACATTTGACCGAAAATTACGTGTTAAAAATGCTAATAAATCGTTATTCTCGGTAATTGCAATCGAATACACGATGGCAACAAAGAACCAAAAGAAACATTGGCCGGTGATCGGTGACAAGCAGAACGACGAAACGTAGCCACGCGGATTTTCGGCCATTTAGTTGATTCACGAGGCTCGGACAATCACGTTCCGCCAATTTTTAAATCTATTGCGCAAACATTCGGGACAGCGAGTTTTACTCCGGTCAGAGCGAAACACAACATGTGCGAAACGCGGCGTGATAGATAGCTGAAACCCACGCGAAGCATGTGTCGACGCGACCGCAGTACATATTCCAGCCTGATGAATCCGCGATAAGAATGCGACTTCGTTCTCCCATAAAAAGCTCGGCAAACGGATAGCCTCGCGCCGTTCGAGCGTACGCGATGATCCGGCGAGAGGATTTTCCCGGCGGCCAGTTCGACGGAAACGAATTGAAAAATTGATCTTTTTCGTTTCGCGAAAACGCGGAAGCCATTAACACATCCCCGTGGCATTATTATCACGAAATTCGCGGATCTCGCGTGCTCCCCGGCGATGGACGCCGGGTCCAGAGTGACCCGGGACACCGTTCTCACAGCCCTCCGTACTCGTCCCGAAATCCGCATTGTGGCAACGTCACGTGGCTACATTATTCGGGCACACGGCAGCCATGTTTGTTGTGATTTTCTGGAATGCGAGTCGAGCAACGCGCGTGGAAACGCCGCGTTCGATTGACATGTTCTTAACGAAATTGACGCGCGCGGACTGCGCAAAATCGTCGGAAGAGCATGAATTCAAGGACGAAAAAGTACGACCAGCCTCTACGGCTATTAAAACGTGGTACATGCACGAACGTCTGCGACACAGTGAATTACGTGTCCCGATAGAAACAAAGCCACCACCCCCCCCCCCCTCCTGTCGCCGAATAAGTTGATAATTCTCGTCGAATAAATTCGCCGATGCACGGCCAACTAAATTCCCCGGATACATTGTTGTCCCAACGATGATCAACCTCTAACCCAGCCCTTCAACCCCTCTCCACCTCCTCCCACTTCGAACACATGGCGCGCCATAGCCTCGCGTTGCAACAACGAAGCATCCTAAACCAACCTCGCCGATAACAGCAATTTACCGCAACGTTATCTTCAAATCGCGGAGAGACCTAGAAATCAGCTCTGATAATCCCCCCCCACCACCCTTCGCCGGAGCAGCATCCGAGCAAATAATTCTTGCCGACTGGCCTACATACGAAAACTTCGTGGTCCTAAACCGACCCGGGACGGTTTTCGACCATGAATCGGTCGCGCGGTAAACAAAGCCTCGTCAAAAGATATCTCTCAAGAGGAATTGCTGGGAGGTAGGAGGCAGGGAGACGAGGGGAGGAAGCGGTCGGACGGGTATCGGTTCTGGTAGCGCCGCTAAAATTCCAGAAACGGAAGAAGGAGCGAGTAGAAGAAGCCGAGAAGAAGACGAATAAGAGAAGAAGGAGGAAGAGGAGGAGGAAGAAGAAGAAGACGACGAAGAAGAAGAAGAAGAAGAAACGGACAACGGCCAACTCACCGTGAATCCCGTCAGCGTGACATCCCGTCGGGCCTGGGCACGGTGGTGTTTTCGCACACGGGTATATATTCGGCACTCGCGGCTCGGCGAGTCCTGCACAGCCTCCACTGCACTCGCGCCGCGGGTAATCTCGGTCACATCCAGTCTTCGTGGCGACGCACAACCCTGGACGTGTCCCGTGGCAGCCGGCGGATGTTCCTCGGTGCTGTGTGCTGCCTGTCTCGCACGAGGTCTCTCCGCCTCTTCGAGAACCTGGCACGCGGAGCCGACGCGCGTTTTTCACCGGAGGGCGAGACGCTATAGGGTATGTCAGAGGACGGCGTGGGGTCGCGACGGGTACGCACCCCGGGCTAATTGCTGCTCGGCCAATTAACAGACTGAGAAGTCCGAGAGCGTGACATCGCGCGCCGAGGAGAAAGCAGAGAGCGTGAACAACCGTCCTGAAGAGTCGCTGCTCGCCGACCACATCCGAGCTGCTCGAGCAACAGCATCCGACTGGTTTGCTGGGCACGTAAACGCCATGGGCAACGCATGCTGCGCCAACCCCCCTCTGAAACCCACCACCAGGGGGCTTTTGCTTATCTACCTGACCGTTTCTGATAATGGCCCCTATTATTACCGGTCCGTCTGCCTGTGTTAATCGTCCTCTGTCGAGCAGAGGCCCGTTCACCGCGACGATTACGCGGCCAGAGCTAAGGGGAGCCTCTTTCTCACCGCCATTTTTCGGTTTTCAATCGGTCCGATCGAAATCGCGAACCCTCGCGGCAGCTGCCGGCGATTGGCCGAACCTGTGGACAGACCGAACCCGGTGATCGACGGTCGGTAACTCGGGTCCTCTTGTCTCGTCGCGAGATGAATTATTTTTTTCGCTCTTTTTTGGACGCTTCGCGATTATTGATTCCAATTTGGACGGTTGCATCGGTGCAGCCGAGCGGAAACTGTGGCTCGGAACGGTTATCTTCTCTTGTCTATACTTTTTCAGTTCGTTTAGCTCGATTTATAGCTCGATTTATATTATTAGCTCGAATTTTATAGATGCTCGCAGGTGTAATCTGAAACAAGAATGCGCAACGTACTGTCTGGATCTAAATGGTGCGTTGATCGTCGAGATTACGTACTTACTTGTGAAAAGAGAATTTTTACTCTTTACGCACGTTGTTTTCATTTGAAATTTGCTCTCTTATCGGCGACGAGGCTTTGAACGAAGTGCATCCCCGCATCGTAGAATAGGTAGCGTTATCAGGTGCCCTGGTGCATATTCAAATCTACGCATTCGTCACATATTTAATAATGTTTAACCGTTTTGAATTATTAACGTCGATATCGGAGTTTCTCTGGAGGGGATACGGCGTACCAACGTTGCGACAAGCTTCGTAAGTTGGCGGTCATGATTCGACTGGTGAAGTCGGTAAAACAGTTACATTTTCGAATATGTTTTTCATTTTATTATTCTTCGAACTATTTCTTTCACTAGTTCGTCATGTAAACAGCTAAATGAACGCGGTTTTCCATTAATTATTCAGCATTGGAAGACTATCCGGGGCATCCTCGCCGTCTTCCATCAACGTTCCCAATTTGTTGAACATCCCTTAAACAACGTTATACACAAATTTTACGGTGATTCCACCGAATGAAAACGCGACAAGTAGGCAGACCATTCAGTGACAAAAAAGTTATTAAACAACATTTTAATTTCACCGCTATGCTTCTCGATTGTAGGATCATTTCCTGAATCAGCCTTATCAAGAATCGCTACGAAAATGCTAGAACAGCAAAAAAACCGGAAACGCACCAGTGCGTAGATTATTCTTGAATACGTAATCTGTGATTGTGGCGGTGGTATCGTATTTGCAGAGGACGGCGAGGAGTCGTCGTTACGCTGACGATGAAAATTCCTGGCGACAGGAATTGACAATGTAACCGCCATCATTTCGCGGGGCTGTCACGGCGACGATCGATTCGCCCGAGGCGACGGGCGGCATCGACGGAAATTTTGCAACGCGATCAATTAATCATAGATCTTGATGCGTCGAGCGTCCGTCGGCGGATCCTGAGGTTGTCGCTCGCGGGCACTCGGCTTCGCCTCGCTAATTAGAACATCGTGATCACGGCGTGGCCAGTTGCAGTCTCCGAGTGGGTGCGTTTCGGCGTTGCATAGTGTGCACGGTGCACGCGATGGGTCCCATGCACTTGCACACATGAGGTGCAGCCGCGAGTCGTGTGGTGGCCGCCTCAGCTGCAATACGCCTCCCTGCGTCACTGGATCATCATGATCGGCGTACAATGCTCGCACATTTCCCCGCGTCGCTTTAAAATGCCACGAAAAACGTGAGAGAGATATATATCCGCAGCCACACGGAAATCTTCCACACAGGACCTCCAAATGCGACGAACTGCTCGATCCTGAGGTGAGGATCCTGAACGCCTTCATAACACTCCCCCATGCCTACCCACATAAAAACGGTCTGAACTGAAAATGCAACACCGAATGCATATAAATAGTCACCGTTTCTCAGTCCTATTTTCAATAACATGCAGCGTAACATGAAAGAAAGCAATAATCCTGCCTTATCCTATGGTTCAGCTACCCTAACAATCTTTAGGACATTGGCATTTCTTCGAAGCATGACCTACAGTCTTGTAGACTCATGCATGAGGTGAATGTAAGTCTCGGAACAAATGGGATCAAGGAGATCTCATGATCTGAAATAATACAAAAGTCAAGAGCGACGAAATTATATATTAGAGGTGTCTAATGTTTGATATTATTGCAAGTGTTACCATCATGTTTTTGAAGATAAGATAGCAGTAAATGTACTTGCTGGTTCTACAGTTGATAGCGGTCATTATGTGATCCAGTGGTTATATCAAAGTTAACTTCCTGACAGATATCATTTAACATTTTGTTGTATCTACTAGGTCGACTAATTATATACTTTCTTTGCGTCAAGGACCAAGGATGTCAAAACTGCTCAGCTTCTATGGTCTGGTAGGCCTGGCGTCCCTTTGCATCTTCTTCTTAGCATTTAACCAACGCTACAGCAGCTACCTCAGCCATCGACTGCAGCCGGTAATATCGGTCAGTAAAAAATCGGAGGTGGGGATTGCTCTAAATTGAGTCACGCCAAACACGCTCTTTCTGATGGTAAAGTCTAACTTTTGCACCTAACTCTTTTTCCACTTGTATGCTAACAATGAACTTTTTGAGCCATGCAAAGAGTACACCGGCTCTCTTTCTCCCTGTTTCCAATCTCTCTTCCTTGTCCTTTTATTTTCATGCAGCAGTTTGGGATGCCTGTTGTCAGAGATCTACGGAAACATTTTGCTTGGAGTTCGATACTCGTTGAAATAATTCATTGTTAATTCGAACCACTGCTTATCTCGAATGCAAGTACAGATGACAAAAGTTATAAATATGTAATAATCGTTAGGATTGCAGACTGTAAACATTTGGCTAACTCTAGTCATACAAAAATCGTAATATACAGAACATGATCATATAATATTGATGTTATATTGCTGTCAAGGAATGCATGTGCCCATAAATCAGGATCTTTTTGTTTATTTATGTTTTACAATGCACCTGAAAATGATACATCATTTTCTTAGCACCATTTATTTAGAGAAAGAGGGAGAAAGATACTGTCCTGGTTAAGTCAACAACATTATCGTGATCACTATGTGACATGCACAGTTGGGACACTAAACTATTAATATTTTCTTTAATATAGGATGTTGAAATAAGGCCCCGCCTCGTCAAAATTCAAGAACCAGTAACGGTAAGCAATATGTGTGTGTGTGTGTGTGTATATACAAGTAGACAAGATACAATGAATAAACATTAATACATAGCTACAAACCAGTAAAACGACTTTTTAACAAATCATCCATCAATATTTAATTAAAAAAAAAAAGAATGCCGTTGGTAAGTGAATGTTTATTTCGAGTTCAACTCTGTCACTCACAACAAAGCAATTAGCTCATAATACATTTAATATGGCAATGGAACAAACCTTGTAAGGTGTACACTACACGCCTCTGCTTCAGCTTTCATTATACATATGCGTTCCTATATAGCAAAAGAACGTGGAATTTCACTTAATAAATTCTGTGTATCGTTCACAGACATATCTTAGGGGTTCCATGGAAAATGTCACGCTTTCTGGGATACAGGAAGTCGTGGACCAACAACGGAAAGCGATCCAAAGAGAAATGGAGGACTATAAGTACCCTAATGGAAAATACAGTGTTAACGCTAGGTGTGTAGACTCTTATAATTAAAGTTAGCATATTTTAATTTGTTGTATTTTACAGCAAATTGGAGGATCTAGTAATGGAGAAGGGTGGAAGACCAATGAGGAGCGTGATTCTAACAAGCTGGAGAAGTGGAAGCACATTTCTTGGCGACGTGGTGAACGCACATCCAGCTAACTTTTACCATTATGAACCGTTACTCGACTTTGGAATCGTGCAAATTCGAGGACCTCCGCTTGCAGACGAGGCTCTCCGGAATCTCGAATCTTTGCTCAGATGTGATTTCCATAATCTTGGTAAATCCCTTCTTGTATAACCATGTAAACAAGCAATATGGTAAAATTAATGATTATTTGTTCTCTCAGATCGGTATCTGGACTATGGTAAAACGCATCCTTGGGTCTTCAATCATAACACACATTTGTGGAGGCAGTGTCAGGCACACAAGAAGATTTGCTGGGATCCACGTTTCGTTTCCAAGTTTTGTAAACTATTCCCCTTTCAGTCAATGAAAATTGTTCGTCTGAGGTTGCGTGCGGCGGAAAAGCTTTTAGAACAAGAAGAGTAAGTACAATATTGCAAGATCGTTTCGTATTTTACCTTTGTGTAGAAGAAAATATAGATTGTTCTGTTACAGTTTAGGAATACGATTAGTTTTGTTGGTTCGCGATCCAAGGGGCATCTTGCAATCGCGAAAGCACCGGGAATGGTGTCCGACGAAACCAGATTGCTCGGATCCGGCATTAGTATGCGCCGACATGGTGTCTGATTTCAGCGTGGCAGCACGATTAATTAAAAAATATCCACGTACTTTCAGGTAAACTTTTTGCTTTTTACGCTGAAAGGTTTAGTGTACGTTCAGTAATGTTTCCTGTATTGAACAGGGTAGTACGTTATGAAGACTTATCCGTGGACCCCTACAGACACGTGAAAGAGCTATACAATTTTTATGGTTTGGACTTTCATATAAATGTAAAAAGATTTTTGGATACTCATACAAAGAACGACGTCGGCGGTGTATCGAGCACGTTCCGCAATTCTAAGGTCGCGCCGTTCCATTGGCGGAGTGATTTAGACTTCGAGGAGGTGGACGAAATTCAAAGAGTATGTGCAGAAGCCATGCAGTTATGGGGCTATGTAATTGCCTCGAACTCCACTCATCAAAAGGAGTTCGACCCTCTCACCGATTACCGTTTGCAATTGTGACATCGATCGGTTTGGTAGCTGCAAATATCACAGGCGGAGAACAGTATTTTATCTGCTCTATCGTATAAGATACCGAGAATTATCACAAGTGCCGTAATTCACATTGAAATGGGAAAGGTACTGACTCCTTCTGTACTTTGATTAGGGCTCTTACTATGATGACTTTGAATCACTTGGGATGTTCGGATAGTAAGAGCTCTAAACTTAAGTAGATAAATATCTCTCTTTGTTGATCTTTTGTCGAGATTGGCGAGGTAGCGAATAATCGAGCTCGTAAGACCAATGGTGAATCTGTTCCTTGAAAGAATCTAAGAGGACGCGCAAGTGCTCTTCAAGCTTGTTGCACAACTATGAAATTTGATCAGATCTAGAATTTTTTTAGACCAGAGTGTTAGGCGCCGAAGACCGAACACGAAAGTTCCTAAGACCCTGGGGCGTGCAACAAGAAAAATATCCATATCAGCGCAAGCATCATGTGAACCATTAATCGTGCGACACTTTCCTAGATTTCAAAGTTTAACGATAATTCTCGAAATGCATAGTAATGGTGATGGGTTTCGAACCTTATTTTTCACCGTGATCTTATTGACAAGACAGTGTCACATGTAGAATTATCTCACGAACGGTTTTCCTGGTTTTCTATCGAAATTTCTAATCAGGGAAACGACGCATGTGCACTTTCTCCAAAAACCTACATCCACGCCATGAATATAGAAAAAAAAAGGAAATCGGCCACTCATTTTTTGGGTGAAAATAGTTTCCACTTAACCGGCCTTTATGCCAAAAACTAGGAAATTAAAGGAATCTCTTTTTTTTTTTTTAAATGTATATAACAGAGACCGATGTGATCTCGTTCGGTGATGTACATGGAAAGAACGTAAATGTAGCCTAAACCACCATGACAGCTATAACATGACAAGTCTTTGAAGAGCAATTTACGAGTACACATCATTATTTTAATTATTTTTGTTGAACATAGACGATATTCGCTGAACGTACTGTAAAGTTAATCGTATGAATTTTTAATAAATTTTATATATTGCATTTGTAGTATATTTCAAGTTTTAAAACTATATTTACTTTGCATAGTTATTAATTAATTAATAACTCACTTCCGAGATATACCCTACGAAAGCAAAGTGTATTATATTAAGTATTAATGCTCAATTTGGGTGGAAATGTAGTTCTTTACAACAGTTATAGGCACTTAGAATTTGTACTTCAAATCGAAGCTTCGAAATACGCAATCTAAAATTTCGAATCACCTGTTTCCATTGATAAATTAATTCTATTGAAATATTTTTATCATAAGTTCTTTTCAAGGTAGCAATGAATTTGTAATGATTGAGTTTTATTCAGATTGTATATTGGTATCGACATATACAGCTACCAGTGCCATTTTGTGCATTATTACTTTTCGAATGAACACGACAGTCTAGTCTAGTAGTGTTTATTACATTTTATAGTACCATTTGAATGTATCATACATCTTTTATGAAATAAATTTTAATTTTTCCTAAATAGTCGCTCATTCCATCTTTTTCACGTTCATCTGAAACAGAAATTTCATACAAAACTTACAACACTATATGGACACACTTTATTGTTATAAACAACATAACGTTTTTATTTCAGATACAACACTGATAATCACTGAAATTTCATAGCGTATATTGTAAAACATCATTAAAGATAATTAACTATTTCCGTCCTGTAAAATTTACAAAAAAATACTCTACCTAAATTAGTCCGAGTATTTTCTTTTGTACCGCTGTGTAATTTAGTTTGCAATACATATCTGTAAAAATTGAAAAATAAAATATGTTAAACCAAAATAATTTATCCTTGTTAACGTGTAAGTTTTAGTAAGTTGCAACTCAGTGAGGGCAAGAACTAATCATAATGATAATTCATATTAGCGTATATTTGATGGTCACATCATCGTTAACAACTATCTAAGTTCGTTCGATTTTTGTGATTCCTCACCTGATCTTGAAGTTACTTCATCTCAAATATCGCCACCTCCTATCTATCTCTCATCGTTGTTCAACAAAAATCTGTAACGAAATTTTACTTTTTAAATTGTTGAACTAGTTGTGATCGAGTAAACTTTATCAAGAAATCTAATGTCAGACAAAAATTGGCATCAAATTACTCAGACATATGCTTGTCATTAAATAAAATCATCAAACTGTGATTATAATTACAAAATCAGTTATTAAAAGAAGAAAGGACACTTACTTTTGTTATTGCAAAAAACGTAAAAATACGTTGCCCGCATTCCAAATGTTAAGAGGAAGCATTTTTTGGGTGGAATCTTCTATTAATTCTGTAATAAAAAAAATTGTTTATTATTATAAGAGCACATGTTAGTTATTAAATTTATACAAAAATTAAATCTATATCAGAATAAAAAGGTCACCATATATGTACGTAAGACAGGGATAACTCTATAATTCATCATATAAAATTTCTAAAAAAATTACGAATAATTTGAACACAGTATTACCTTCTCAGTTCTTCATGCAAAGGTTTCTTCAACCTAGTCTCATGTTATCAAATTATGATAGTTATCAAATCTTCTTTAATTGAAGAAGCTCCCACCTTTGCCTATCCTTTTTCATGGTCTCCTACTAGTACAAATGCTAGTGTTAATGAACATTACATATTTTAGAAAAAATACTAAGTATGGTTTGCTATGATCAGGATACACTCTCTACATGATACTTCTGATTGACTGGAGTCGTGTTAATTATTCATCATGATTTTAAAATAAGTCATCCTAATGTATTATATATATTAATGAAAGTACATGAATTTCATGCTATTTTTATAGAATCAATTTAAAATAACTTACCGATGTTACCACAGAATGTAGCCATTAGGAGATGATGAAGTTTAAACGTGATCATACTTTCTACAAAGAAAAAAAATGCTACATTTACCCGAGTATATTTCAGACATCGTAATTGTGAATCATAAAAATTCGTTTCAGACAACTGAATCATTCAAATAACCTTCAGCCTGGGGCAGTAACAGTAACATCATAATGAATTATAAATTCGAATAAACAACTGAAGAATCTACTCGTGATGCGGAAACACGTGTACCGATAAAAAAAGATTCGAGAATAAAACATCCGTACAACGCAAGTGAAATAAAGAATGTGTTAACGTAACGAAATAAAGAATGTGTAACAGTAACATCATAATGAATTATAAATTCGAATAAACAACTGAAGAATCTACTCGTGATGCGGAAACACGTGTACCGATAAAAAAAGATTCGAGAATAAAACATCCGTACAACGCAAGTGAAATAAAGAATGTGTTAACGCAAAAAAAATAGAATAGATGAAACAATTAAATAAGTGAATAATACTCACTAGAAAGATTGCTAACAAGCTGAAACCAAAATGATCCAACGCACGCTCCGAGAGGTTAATCAATTTAAGCGCCTAAAAAGAAAAGAACACGTTTCGAACAATTGATAAACAAATAACTAGAAATATTTTAATGTTTCAATATATTCAGAGACATATGATAATTGTAATCATAAGATATATCATACGAACGAGACTACGAGTATCATCATTCATAAAGAATATTCCAAGTTCCTAGCGATAAATTAAGAAAAATATAGCAACGGATAAAGAGGCGAGAGTTTCGCGGTTAAAATGTTATTGTTTATTAAATAGTTTCGGCATCGATAGACATCGATGAGAACAGATTACGAAAATGTAAAATCTACTTACCTTCCGAACTACTACCAAACGGGTTCCAAACGAGAATGAACGATGCCAGCGAAGCAACAGAGTCTTATAGTACTAACCGTTCATATAGAACCGAAACTCTCATCGAAAATCCGAATCTTTGATGTCCGACAGAAATTGGCAACGTCGGAAAGCGCGGCAATATTTAAAAAAAAAGTAGAAATTTATAGATGTATCATCTTGCGGAGAAAGGCTCAAACCGATCAACAATTAAATCCGAATTCTCATCGCTAGATGGCAGAGCAGAAATTCTAAGCTGTGACATCTAACGGAGAAAAGCTCAAACTGTTCAATAATTAAATTCGAATTTACATCGTTAGATGGCAGAGCAGAAATTCTAAGCTGTGACATCTAGCGGAAAAAGGTTCAAACTGTTCAACAATTTATTTCTACATTCCTCTGTTAGGTGGCAACGCATACAAATTGCTTATTTACGTATTAACTGCCACCTAGCAGTGCAAACTGGAATTAAGTTAATCAACAGTTTGAGCATCCTTCCGCTAGATGTTACAGCCTATAATTTCTAGTCTGTCATCTAACGGTGGAAATTCAAATCTTGTTGTTGAAAAGTTTCAGGCTTTCTCTGCAAGATGGTAGAACCTTAAAACGTAGAACTTTGTATGCTATGTTATCTAACGGAGGAAATTGAAAATAAATTGATGAACAGTTTGAGCGTTTTACCGCTACATAAATTGGCGCTGTACGGACTTTTAAAAGAGACAAATGATTGTTGCGAGAATTAATATTGACTTATGAGAAATACAGCACGAATCTAAGACAATGACTTGTTTTAAGAACTCGATTTATCGACGTGATCTCTAATTATGAAGACATTCGAAATACATATTTCAATATCATAGAAGTAAGACTGTAGACATGATGCGAAGAAAACTATTATCCTTGACAAGTTATTGGTGTCAACCAATCGAAGTTAGGAGTTTAGAAATAAATGATATATCCAGTAACGATTCGAGTTGAACGAGAAAAAGTTTCAGTTTACGTTGGAAATGTTACACGATATTTTTTGAGTAGAAAAATTGAAATATTACAAGTTTAAATATCGTATCCATGACGAAATTAAACATGTTTAGGATCTTCAGATCCTAATTCCGAAAATGACTAATGGACAGGAAAGCCTAAGTACTCGATAGCATCGTTCGAATTTATCTTTGAAGTCCATCTGAAATACCGAGTCGCTAATGGCTAGTTGTAACAGTAAAAGCAACAAGGAATATCTTCTCCAGTGGCATAGATTAAACGACTGCGTATTACTTCATCAATTAGTCAACCGTTGCTCTATTAGAAAATTCATGGAATTAACGCGCATGCGCATGACTCATCGTTGGTCGCTGTTTTCCGCGTCGCACAGTGTACTAGCGCAGTGCGCTTTGTGAAGCGAATTGTATTGAAGCTTGTTTGCGTCTGAGCTTGTATCCTAAGAATTGAACGGCGCGAAATTGTTTCGATAATTCTCGATCTTTCGACATTCATAGAATAACAAGTCCAAAGTCTTGAAAGAATTATTCTTTTCCCGATTAATCGATGGTTCGAGGAAAACAAAGCTACAGATAAAGGAAAAACATCGAGAAGAAACAAAGTAGTTGTTGGTGAAAGTCAACGTTGTTTCTCTGTAACGGAAATCACCTTTCGTTCGTTGCTCGTATAATGAACGCAGTAGCCAATCAGGATGAGATTCATATGACAACAGTAAATTTCTTTTGTTTTTACTTACGGATTGTTTACTTACAGCGACATTCTCAATGATGTTACGATTAGCTTAATTTCGCCGTGAATATGAAAGATATTATTTGATGATAATTAAAAATCGTGTTAGTAAAATCTTCGTTGAATCGAGTGATTATAATAGTTTTATGTTATAACAGCAATTTCTTTCAGCCTGAACTTATTGAAGCTCATGGTTACACAGCTGAAACACATTGCATTTGGACTGAAGATGATTATTGCTTAGATGTACATAGAGTTTTACCTCCAAAATCACGTGGAAACTCATATAATGAAGATGGTGAAAATAGCGTGACCAGTTTAAACAATGTAAATGTAACAGAGGTAATGTTAATTGTTATAATTCTTCATGACAAAATTGATCTTACCATACTGATAAATTGTATAATTTTATACGTCAGGCTCGAGTACCAGTTCTTATTCACCATGGGTTGTTATCAAGTTCAGCCGACTGGGTATTATTGGGTCCAAAGAAGGCATTAGCATACATTCTATGCGACAATGGATATGATGTATGGCTTGGAAATGCAAGGGGAAATGCATATTGTAAAAAACATAGAAAATATACAACCAAAGATAAAGAATTTTGGGATTTCAGGTGAGTACACTTTTAAATTGCAAGAATTGAAACAATATAAATTGAACAATGAAAAGTGTAAGATACATAGATGAATGCATAATAAAAAGTTATTTGTATTGATTAGGTAAATAATTTCACTAATATTTTAGTTGGCATGAAATTGGTCTTTATGACTTACCAGCAACAATAGACCACATTTTAGAGCAAACAGGATACAATGAACTTTATTACATAGGTTATAGTCAAGGTACAACAGCATTTTATGTGATGGCTAGTGAGAAACCTGAATATAATCCCAAGATCATAGGAATGGTTAGTCTTGCGCCAATAGCATTCCTTTCAAATCAGAGGAGTCCTTTGCTCAAACTAGTTGTTCACTTTTATGGCATAATGGAGGTACATTTATAAATATTCATAACAATTTTCAATTATGATCGGAGGTGGTTACACTGTAATAATATTCAAATTCAACTATAATTACATAGCCGTTTAATTTCTTAAATTAAAATTTGATCCTTCCGTTTAAATTATGGTTCTCAAAGTTGTTAAAATACAAGCTGAAACAATTATTAATTGTTCAATATAAATACATATTGATAAATATATATTGCTCAATATAAAAAATGAAGATGTTCCCCTAGTGACATACATATTTGTACATGTTTTTGCAAGTAGAATTTTTTTTAGATGTCTATCAAATGATCTATTTTTTTTATCAATTTATTTTAAGAGATCCTTACTATTGCTAAAATTTCAAATTGATAATTCAAGTGATGTGTATAAATAAATCCACCTCTGGTCAGGGGACTTCCCAAGATTTTTATTTGCCATATCTATAACGAGCATGTTTCAGTGGGGATCTTCTTATTGCAATGTACATCAGTGGTTCCCCCACAATAGGTTACAGGCCCGTACCCTAACTGCAATCATTCGAAATGCACCAGGTAGCCTTACCAAGGGTTTCTGTGTGTGTTGGTTTTACATGATCGCTGGATTTGGTAGTGATCAACTGGACAAGTCTATGCTGCCAATAATTTTAGGACATTTCCCAGCTGGTGCTTCTGCTAAGCAAATTATTCATTACAGTCAGAGCATTTTATCAGGTATTAATTATTCATTGAATTTCAAGAAAACGATCAAGCCCAGCAATCGAAGAAATTTTGTATTAATCTTGTGTATCGCTTCTTAACAGGATCATTCCGCAAGTTCGATTATGGAGCGACTGAGAACCTGAAAATTTATGGATCAACACAGCCGCCGAAATATGACCTCGAAAGAGTGAAAATACCTGTAGTAATATTTTATAGTGAAAATGATTTTTTAACCGATCCCGCTGATATAAAAAAACTCGTTGACAGATTACCAAATGTACTAGAGACGCGAAAGATTGAGTATTCGAAATTCAATCACATAGATTATTTGTGGGGCAGAGATGCTAAAACATATCTCTACAATACTGTATTAAAAGTATTAAAACGGTTCAGATAAGAGAAGTATTTAACGACGTTGGTTATTTATGAGTATACGGGTATACAAATACATATGGATATTTTGTCACATTTGTTACATCACAGAAACTCCGATATATTTGTAGAAATTAAATGTCGAATGAGTTTATAGTCATCGTTTTCTTCTCCTTTTCTCATAGATTGATCATTTAATAAGAAATCATTTTCCAAATTGTCAATTAAAGTGTAAATCTGTAATAAAAACATATTTTGAACAGTAACTTGTGTTAGCATTTTGTTATCCGATTTGGATCGTTTCACATTGCTGCAAGATCAAGTGTCCAAAGGGGAACCCCCTGGTAATGAGAATAAAAATACAAAACTATGATAATAATTATATATGTCATTGAAAAATCTTATTTGTACCAAATAATAGTCAATGATTCGAATACATGCAACAATTTTCAGTTACGTTAGAACTTGTAACATTCTTACTCATTATCTGAATTTCAAATTAATACTTTCCCCTTCTGGAAGAGGAAAGTTACTTCACCACGCGTGTTTAGTATAGTTTTGTATACTGCAACTGCTACATGAATGACTAAATCAGTTACCTGAATGTTATGCATGTATATTGTAACAAATATAAAATTCTTACATTTTAATCGACTTTGGAAGTTGTTAATAAATAAGTGAAAATATTAATTTTATATTCATTGACCTAACTTCGTAACTTTTTTTGGTAAGTGATTCAAGAGTGAGGTTATGTTACTTTTAAGGTTTACGACTATACTAGTTTAGAAAAGTGTTCGTACAGAAGAATCAAGCGTATACAATATTATCGTTCTAGTGTGTTAATAGTGTTTTTATGCAATGAAATTATTGTTACATGTTATACAATAATAGTTGTACAAAATTGGAGTTGTGTGTCCCTAACCAATAAGCCACTCTATTGCACATGTTAAAATTTTTCATTCCTCTATAACTGCGTTGCAATTTGATGCATTTGATTTTTTCTCGAATGAAGTAATTATTTTTTCTATTGCAGAATTGTTAAAAATAGTAACACTGAAAAACAATCATTTTGGTAATGTTACAACATATTCAACGGAATAATTTCGTGTTTACACATTTCTTTCATCATTTCATCAGATGTTATAGTACAGTTCCGGATGATCTATTTCGTTCTTATAATAAAATACTAATGGAACAAAACACTCAAATAAAAAGACTAGTTTTTGCAAATAGCAGTACAGCAGTACAGGCGAGTAAAAGAATTATATGCAAATTAATGATTAAAATAAATACCATATTCATTGTAATAAGTTATTTCGATAATAGATTCTTGGAACTGGAGCTTATGGAGCACCAGGAAGTATAGCTATCACCACTGATCATGTCAATTATATATTCAATTGTGGAGAAGGAGTACAAAGATTAGCCCAAGAACACCATTTTAAATTACTTAAGGCAGAACATATATTTATAACAAAACCCGATTGGAAAAATATTGGAGGGTTACCAGGTATGCTTTTGTCAATGCAAGAGACGGGTCTACCTGAAATAACATTACATGGTTCAAATCAAATAGCTGAATTTATAGATATGAGTAAAATATTCACAAAATATAATAAGTTACAATTTAAATTTGCTTCTATCGATGAATCTAAACCATATGAAAATGATGTACTATCTATATGGTACGTTCCTATATCTAAAATTCCAAAGGGTAGCAAAACTCAATCTTTGAATACAAATAAAGAAGATCTGTGTGACTCGAACATTAATGGGAAAAGAATCCTTGACTATACAGAAACGGAACCGGATTTAATGAGTGCAGAAAAAAAACTAAAAACTGATACAGATATATATAGTTACATTTGTGAAATTAAACCAAGACGAGGAAAACTGTCACTAGAGAAGTGTGTAAAATTAGGTGTGAAGATAGGTCCACTTTTACGTAGGTTGAAACTAGGACAGGACGTTGTATTAGCAAGTGGAGAAATCATTCATGGCAATGATGTTTGTTTGCCAAGTGGACCTGAGTCCACTATAATCGGTACAGTTAAAATTATTTAAAAAATTTGAAGTTTTATATCACTAATTATTTAACTCTCAATAATTTATGTTTATAGTTGTAGAGTGTCCTGATGAGGATTATTTAGAATCTATCATAAATAATACTAAATTCTTAAAGTACCATCAAACTGCATCAGATGAAGAAAATCAAAAAGTATTTTACTTATTTCACTTTACACCAGAGGATATTTTCAATCATCCAGAGTATCAGGCTTGGCTACAGAAGTTTCCATCAAATACACAACATGTAATATTAAACAATGAAAACACTTGCTTGGGTAGCGAAGCTGTTTACAAGCAACAATATTTAATGAACAAGATACATCCTGAATTATTTCCCTTGCTGAGTGAAGACAGTTTGAAAGAAGAAAAAGAAGTAAAACATTTATAAATAACTCTGTGAAACATAGTTTAACTTTCTCCTTACAAAATTCCATATTTTGTTACAGACGATAAATAACCATTTTCATCGAGCAAGAACACTACAAAAGGTGACGATTCATCCAACTGTCATGCCGATTACGGGAACTAAGATTCGCCCAAGAGCAGAGGATTATATGGAACTTCTGGAGATAAACGATGTTAAGGAAGCGTTGGAGAAACTGAAAGTAAATGTCTCCAAGAAAACAGAAGAACTTAATTTAGTTAATGCACCAGAATATCCACGAATTGTAATGCTAGGCACTGGTTCTAGTACACCAAATAAAGTAAGAAATACTAGTAGCATTCTTGTGCAAATCGATCAAAGTAATAGTATATTATTAGATTGTGCAGAAGGCACAGTTTGTCAAATTATTCGATTCTTTGGAAACTCGGAAGCCAAAAATATTTTACGTAGCATCAAGGTATATATGTTATCTTTATTTTACTTTCTATATTCTTAGATTATTTTCATTGTGATTTTTCCTTGCAGACCGTTTTCTTATCGCATAAGCACGCTGATCATCATGTAGGCGTCATCGGTTTAATGAAAGAAAGGGAGAAGCTCACAACGGAAAAATTATTTTTATTATTACCTCAAGATATTGAGAAATGGTTAAGATTTTACAATCGTATGGAGCCTATTTCGCATTTATATAATACGATAAATAACAGAAATCTCATGACTAATTACAAACTACCATACATCCACCGTGATATATTCTTTAAACACTTGAATATTAAAGAGATAAGAACTACAGGTGTTAAACACTGTAAGGATGCTTTTGGCATATTAATAATTCTAAACGACGGTAAAAAGATCGTCTACAGGTAAGTTAAACGAAATTGAAACTACATAATATAAAGCGGCAGTAACAAAATTTTTCTCATATATTTATTTTAGTGGCGATGCTATGCCTTGCAATAATCTCGTAAATTTGGGTCAGGATTGCGATTTACTGATTCACGAAGCAACTATGGAGGATAAACTTTGGAAGTTAGCAGAGCTGAAGTATCATTCAACAGTATCTCAAGCAATTAACATTGGTAAAACAATGAATGCAAAATTTATTTTGTTGACGCATTTCAGTCAGCGATATTCAAAGATTGCACTATTGCCAGATGAATTCGATAACGTTGGCATAGCTTATGATAATATGGACATCAAGTTCTCGTATTTGCCACTGTTACCTCTTCTCTATCCATTTCAGAAATTAATGTTTAGTGAATATTACGACGAGGCAGAGAAAAGAACGAACAAAATAACTGATCAAAAATAATATTTTGTTAACGGTTAATGAATTTTTATTTAAACGTCAGAAATAGAATTCTTGTAATGTTAAATAATTTTTGCGATCCATGCAGTCAGAAATAAAACATTGCACAAATAATCATTGAATTCTGATTCAAGCAACTAACATCGAAGGATTACGATATTAATAAATGCCAAAAAACTTGTTTTGACAGTAGCATTTATTGCTTACATAATACACTTAGTTTGCCCCGCTTTCCTTAAAATAGTAAATAATGTAAATTACGAATAGTTCCATTGAAAATAAAGTTATGATGTCAGATCTCTGTTGTGCATAAAAAAATAGAGAGCAGATAAAATATTGTATTGTATAAAGAAGAAAAAAAATCAAGCAGATCCAAAATTAATATCTTTCCTAGTGTCGAATCGAAATATAGGTGTAGATGGAAAACTATAAATGTCGACAACAAAGGGTAAAGCTTTACCTATTTTTAGAAGCCCTTACACTCTAATCGATAAAATACACGCCCAAGTTCCACATTAAAAGATAGAAAAACGATTCATGCTTCCATTCGTTTTGAAGTGGGCTACAATGTAAAATTTTGTTCACAAAAATAACTGCAAAAATGTTTCGATCATTGCACAGCTCGCGGAATGTGAATCTGTTATGTAGAAAAAGCGTGGTCTCTCAAATTACACATATATATTCGATTATTGCATCGACTTTATAATGTTATGTACACTAGATAGCAAGTTTACACTAACGATGCGTTTGTGCGTTTTTTTTATTAACGTTTTACCTACTGAAACACATACACCAACTGTTTAATTAGACCAATATTTACAGCCAGTTGTAAACTGTCTGTTGCATACTAAAAATGGCGACAAATGTACACTAATGTGACAAATTATGTAATATAATTTATAAGATAGTACTATAAATTGTAAATAGATAAGAAAATAATGCGTGGCAAATCCTGACCTCTATTGAGAATAATTGTATTGTGTCAATAAATAAATTGCTTGGATTTTCTACTCGCTAATAGCCAACTTATTGATTATTAGGCCAGTCGATAAAGCGTTAATAACGTATGTTTGAGCAATATAAAGTATCTTTATGTTATGGAATGATTAAGGATTGTTAACTAAGACACTATTTTACCTGTTGACATACTTCGTAAATGTGCTGTCTAGTGTAGAAATGTTTTGTATAGGAATTCAAGCATCGGAAGTAGTATTAATATTAATATCGAGACTAGAAAACTGAATTCTTTTTAATACTTAAACGATTGGCCAGATTAATACTTTCTATTTTACTGCATATATATAAAAAGAACCAGGTATATATATATATACCTGGTTCTTTTTTAGATACTTGCTTAACTAAACGGTTAAATCATAAATCATAAACAGCATAAAAGCTGGTCGACATGAGAAACAATCACCTGTGGGTCTAAAAAGTTACTGTAATAAATTCTCACTTGTACCATCTATACTTCTTTTAAAGACAAAACATAAACGAAAGGAAGAAAATTACAAATAATATTTTCGTAACACGGAATAAGATTGAAGATTTGTAAAATAAATTATTGTCCTTGGTGTGGTAAGTTTGTCAACCGATCGAACGTTTAATGTTAAAGAAATAAATAATATATCGAGTAACGATTCGAATCGAGAAAGGAGAAAGTTTCAATTTACATGAAAACAGTGGATTCGTATCGATTACCTTTCTTTAAATTAAGGAACGTTATAATAGCCTTAATTTCTTTGCAGACATGTGAATGATCAGTCTTATACGATATTTCTCGAGTAGAAAAGTCATTAGAAGTAAAAGTAAAAAATTGTAGAAAAGTCAGTTCGATAATTGCACAGTACTGTCCGCTTAATTGTCCTCAATTTGGGATCGTATTATTAATTGAAGTACTCAAATATCGATTCGATAAGTTTATGAAAAAACAGGCAAGTTTAGATATCTAGACTAGGTTTCTCCAAAATCAAGTTCCAAAAATTGCTGATGAACATTAAAGCGGGTAGTACTGTACTCCTAATTAAGTACTCAATAGGAGCCCCTTCTGTACTTATAAATATGATATTAGATTACGTTCGAAGCTATAAAAGGGCAGTGATTTCAGCTATGTTCCTTTCAAATTTGACAATCTCTTTTTTCTGGATGTAATTTTAAATTTTGTCAACTAAATTTCAATTCGTTGAATAGATTCACTTGTTCGTTCTTTTCAAAGCGACCTTCGACTTATTATATTCAAATATTGAGCCAGTTTGTTTAAATAATGCGACAAAACGAGTTCAGAAGGAACATAGCTTTTACATGTTCGTTTGATTAGAATTCCCATTTGGTAGCGGACTCGTAATCTGTGTCTCCCAGACGCAGTGCCCCGTTTTTACCTGCAGTCAGATATCTTCCTTCAGCAGTATGCTTGATGCAAAGACGAGATGGCTCCCTCAGTTCCAAATAAAAGCCATCAGAAGATATGTCAGAGTCCACATTGACTCCTTCACTATCTGCATGCCAGTACTTACCATTTTGACCTGCGATACAAAACCATTTAGCATCTAAATCATTCTATCTTCACAAGAAAATGTTACCTTTAAATCTAACAATTCCCTGTTCGCATCTCTCCACTCTAATGGTCTCATATATGGCTTTGTTACATTCAAGTTTCGAACTGGATGCACTCTTAGGCCCTACGAATCCTTGTTCACATCGCAGAACCAAAACAGGTCTATTCATCAAGTAGAAATAGTATTTAGTGGCGCCCAAGTCTGCTCCGTTCACTGAGTCTGCATTCGCATAGAGGTGTCCAGAGCGTTTGGTTGCCAGAAATTTGCCATTGTTGGCACGCAAAGCCACTGTACCATCAGTGGATTGCCAGACCAAGTCAAACAGAGCATTGGAGGAACGTTTGTGCTCCGATGCTTGGATTCCTCCACCAGCCTCAAGACTCCAGTAACGGTCCTGCATGGTGCGCACGTACCACCTCTTGGTGACACGATCAAATTCCAATTGGAAGGTCTCATGTCCAGAGATTTCATCCTGGTTAGCTGTTACATCAACGCCTGTAATGGAGGTAATATGAATAATATATGTTTGGTCCCTTCAGTGCATTCAGTATTACATGTTACAGTAAATATATAAATACCCTGTTTCACAGAAACGTATCGTTGGTTTAAAGCAGCGACAAATGAAGCTTGTGGCAATGATTCTTCTAAAGAAAACAACTCGTCTCGTGTCACAGTTGTAGATCTTGATTTTAAAACAGCTTTACTTCCAATGGGTGCTAAGTATGCTCCATATAAATCCCTTTAAATAATAATATTCTTCATTATTTTTCAAAGATTTCCAATAATATTATAAGATAGCCAAAATATTAATATATCAAACCTGAGTGCAAGTAGTCCAGCATGAAACTCAGCCGCATACAAACAATCGCGTGTACAAGAGTCCAAAAGTTTTCCATCGCGTGCTAAATATTTATTGTTGCAAGTATGAAGTGCATAGTGTCCACCTTCAGATTTAGTATTCTCCTGGCTATTGTCTTCCATAGAAGCGGGACGAAATTCTAAGGTGAACAGAGTATCCTCACCCCAAGGGACTGGTGCATCTACATGAATTTCATCCTGTGTGGCACTCAAATGAGCAAAACGCTTCCTTCCAGCTGATTTCAGATTGACCTATAAAAAAAAAAATGATTTAATTTCAATTCGTAAATTTGTAATTAAACAGTAGATTCCTTAATGACTTACTTGAGGTCTAGCTGCAAGGTGCACAAGCCAGTATTCTGCCTCACCCGGAGCTTTGGCCATGCATTTGAGTTCATCTTGACTTGAACCCAAGAAATATCCACGCTGGATGTTTTTCAATGCCCACCTTCCACTTCCTTTAAAAAAATTAATCAAATATTCATGTATGAATATGAATAATTCATTGTATAAAATAATCATTGTAGACCTTTTTTTTAATGTTTTTCATTAACAAAAAGTTTACAACTACCATCAGAAGCCAATTGAATTTGAAAAGAACAGCCAGGGTCTGATGGATCTTCTGCCTCACAGGTAACATTTCCAAACTGATCCACAGCCAGATAACGATCCAAGTGAGATCTAAGGTAGACTTGCTGTTCACTGCCCTCCAACATCCACAATTGTTTCTTTTTTAGACTGGATCCATTTGCATTGATTTTAAAACCAAAGGTTTCTGCTGTAAGGTACTTAAACTTTCCATTTATTAATCCAACCTGAAAATACATATACATTTATTACGAAAATATTTATGCAATTAAATTTTATTTTGTATCCCATTTAATACCAACTTAAAATTTTTTTTAGAAAAATTCTAACAAATCTTCTTCTTACTAAGTAAAATATATGAAGATATTAAAATTTTGTGCTTCATTTAATTCTAGTAAAATGTTTATAAAAATTAAAATTTTAATTATTTCTTATTAAATATAAAATTTATGATGGCATTTATTCATATTTTTGTGTAAGATTTATTATTTATGCACCGTAGAAAACATTGCAATGACTACGCACTTTGTTCGAGGTTTTTCCTCAAACGTTTTATGCTGTATGGGGTAGAATTCTACCCCAATCGATCTTTCAACGCCTCTGTTCGAGGACTAAATGGCTACCAAGGTCATTTACTTGGATTTCGAAGTATTTAAATGTATTACCCAAAATGATCAATCCCGTTTTATTTTTTTTGTAGAATTTACTTTTACAATAAAAAATATGATCTATACTACGTGTTAGTGAATTAAGGTTTAAAACAATCAACTACAGACAATTAATAGCTGTTATGATAAAGTCGACAATTCCGATAAAAATAAAAGCACGAATATATGCGAGATATTTGTAAAATTGAAATAAAAAATACAGTTTTAAGTAATTAAAAATTACCGTCCATCCTGTCTTCTCGTTTGTATTTTCGTTACCGAGGTTCTCAGAACCGTTCGTCTGCATCATTTACTTGAATTGCTTCACGTTTAACTCAAAACCTGATTTAATAGAAAAACAATATCATTAACAGTCTTATGGTCATGCGGATTCGTTCGAATACAATATAACAAGTAATCTTATTATATCAGATCATTTACATTTTATTCGAACGATCTCATTCGCTTGAACAAGAAATTATTTGAAAATGATTTATTCGTATAAAATCAACTTGATTTCTCTATGTTGTTTTGAAAATAATAAATTAGTTGGAAACAATTTGTTATTTTTGATTTTACACGTCTGATACGAGGTAGATAGTAGCAGAACATGAGGACATTTTCAGGGTCAAGATCGTGTTACCATAGCGATACAAGCCTGACCTAGCCAGAAAACTCCTACACAAGCAGCTACTCGTTAACATGATTGAATATATTTCTATTTTTACACGAAAATCTCTTCTCTTCCAAAGGGATACTTTATTTTCAACTCTGAATTCAGTGACTCATTTGTATGTGGCTTCCGTCTGGGTGGGGCCAACTCGACGAATGGAAAAGACGATAAAAGGACCTTTCGCCCTTTACCAAAATTTTCCCGTTTCGCACGCAAAACGAGATCTCCCCAAGAAACGTTTCGTTTCTAATATTGATCGTGTATATTTACAAATATTCCTGTTTATTTATTTTAGCAAAATTTTTGGTCAAACGCGAAACGGATAGGAAAATGAATTTGTTGTAGCATCGGTAACTTTTTTTTCCAGTCACCAGAGACACAATATCAAAACACAATACGCTACGCACATTTGCATTACAACTATGGCGAGGACGTTGAAACGGCGACAAAAATGAAATGAGTAAATGTAAAAAAATAAACAATAATTGTGTTCAACGTCAAAAAGCGATTTGTAAAAGCGCAATGTAAAATCAATAACACCATGAGAAGACCGTAAAGGGTAACTTCATTTGGTCAATCCTAAAACACCCAAGTCCCAAAATTCAAGTGAAACTTATCGACTCGTAATAATTCGAAATTTGCGTTTAATCCAGAAGTAAACATTAAGAAGAAAACAAGAGAAAACGCGGAAATGTTGCCATGTACATACATTTTCAAAATATATAGTATGAAATGTATATCCGAGTTTTATAGAAACAGCGATTGAGAAAGCAAAGAATAGCAAAGAATCGCTAATGTATATAATCCGTACAACTGTTTCACGATCACGAGTCAACAATTAAACAGATGTATATGAACCCTTGGACGCCGGTGGCCGGGTCAATCTCGTGCCGTCACTTTGAAAAACGAATTTCTCAAATTCGGACGATCAACTTGTATCTTTATCTGTCTGTACCAAAATCGAATAAACTTGTCTCTTGTGAAAACATTTAAAAATACATATAAAAAAAATGTTGAAGCGATGATCTGAACGAGCCTAAGCATCGCCGCTCAAGAGAATTATAATAATGTAGAAATTACAAAGCTTGTTACCAAGCAGATAACTTACCAGCTAGGGAAACAGAACGGAAGTCGTAGACGTCGTAGTGTAGGATCACCGTAAAACAGACAGTACACGCAGGAAGTGCGAGTCACGAGCAACAAATTACGTTCGTCACAACAAAGACACCCGGCGACTGACTTGATTCGTTCGTTCACTCGTTCCTGGTCGTGAAAAGGATCCCGTAGGACGCGAGACGCATGCGCGATGCCGGCACTGGCCAGGACTGTGCATAGAACGATAGAACACAGTGCGGCGACAGTCGTTTTCTCTAATGTCACGGTATCATCCCCACCATTTCTCTGCGCAGAGATCTGCTTGTCTGAAAAAGCTACAACTTCAGTTGTTGCGATTTCCGATACAGCTACCTGTGGGCGGTAGTATCGCTTCGTGAGCCAATGAGCGTGCAGGAAATCACTCTCGCGCCGTCTGTACTGGCACGAGACAACGGCCAAATCGCACGACGATATGGAAGAAATACTGTTTGAAACATTAGATGCTTCTAATGTACCCCTATCGTAATGATTTCTTCTAAATAGACGTAGAGAAAATGAATCCAGAGAGTTTGTAACCTGCCTGCAACATTATCTTGTTTATATTTTATAGGAGAATACGATGCATTTGATATTAATACCGTAACAAAAGTGGCGAATGTTATCGCAGACCGTTTTTCGAAAGATATCCGTGGCTCATTGATAATAGCTGTCCAGCGTGTTTACATGCGTACTATATATGATGTTAGGTCTACGATGGGACATCTATTATGATCATTGTCTCGACTCTTCTCGCCAAGAAATCATAGAACGAGGAACGAAAATTTCATCTCTTCGAGGATCCTGTACGGCCCTGCGCGATTCTGTCAGGATATCGCGCGTGCGCGGTTTCAACGAAAGGATAGCGATAGATAGGGGATAGAGAAGGAACGAAGGAACGGTGGGGACCAGACGTACACATCGAACTGTCGGGACTGTCGACTTTCCGGAGGGCCGTGAACTGCAGATCGACGACCCTGCTTTGCGATCGCTATTTTCTCAGTTGCCGTTGCAACGAGATTTTTCTGCCGGCACAAAAACATCGCACAATGTAGAATTCCTAAAACTTTGATGTAGATCGTCCGTTTTTTCGGAAGTAGACGCTTGAGAAACGCCTCGTAGTCACAATAGCTGTTCCCTTTAGACCTTACGAACTATAAAGTTGTAGGAGTTATTATGATTCTGAGAGCACTACGGATGTTTTCTTTTCTTTCTAGAGAATCTTCTCTTGGAGACATGCAAATTACTATCTTCAAGCGATCACGAAGATTTGGAACGAAACATTTTTTTATTATTATACATTAACATTATTAACATTATCATATTATTTTGAATACGACGATTGAACACGGAACGAAGGAATGTGGCTGTTATTTTTGCACCGAACTAATTCTCGAATCTCCATTTTCCAAATATTTGAATAGCATTCGTGCCTGCCAGATGTTGTACAGATTATGTCTACAAATGTGCTGAATCTATATAGTTGGTAATTTAATCTTGATGCCACAGACAGTTTACAGTTAAACGCTATACAGTTATTTCGTTCTATTTGCGCCACGATATAGACCCTCCGCGATCGCAATTAACGTTTTTAGAAGGAATCCTGTGCCACTTGTGGATTTGCCAATCTAAAATAATAATACCTTCCGTGGTTCACCTTGTATTTAAATAAAGTATCCAGATGATTTGCTGAACAAATCCTACAAATACTTTTGATCGTCCGTTTTACTTTGTTTATCGACATTTTGCATTGGTTGCCAACTTGATCTGTTCTCAAAGAAATCAATTCCGATGAAAAATACCCGAACTAACTGCGTAATCGAAATTTTTGCTTGGTACTGGCATTTCTTTTGTTGTACGGAACAATGAGGTGTTGCAAAATAAATTTGCACGTTCCAAACTGTCTGTCAGACTCTTTGGATGATCGATTTAACAAATTATCCACAGAGATTAATTGTGGAAAGGCGAGAAAAATGAAGAAAATGTTCTTACGAAGTTACGCAACATACAAAAATAATATATCAGAAATATGTATTCGTATTAATTGGGTAATCAGAATCTGCTCCTGCTTAGTTCAGGAAGTCTGAGGACTTTCGAGCGTGTCTAACGAGTGGCTTAGACTAATTTGGTTTTTTTCCCGCAGATCGCGGACGCAGAACAATTCTAAATCTCATTCCTCGTGGTTACGATTAATTGCAATCATTTATCCGCGCGTTCTGTGCTCACGACACTACATACGATAATTGGATGGTAGTTTGCAATGATTCTAATTAGACTCGAGATCGAAATTACATATGTATTAAGCTCAACGTACAAACGATATGCGCACGGTACCAGGTATCATTCCATTTAACATAATATTTATGAACAATTTATATCTTTTATTGCACTAAACTAAATGTGTACAAATTGTGTGTAAATGGACGATATTGTTTTTGGATCACGCGTTCGCAGAATTGCTTTATACTCATGGCAAGTTACAATATTTAGTATAGGAACAGTTCGGTTGGAAATAGTTTGCGTTCGCAGACTGCTAACCTTGTCAAGGACAAAAATTTCCGAGATAACCTAGATGCGTCCTGCAACGTCGTTATAGAAACTGTTACTGACGGAGAGGAGAGGAGAAGAGAAAGACTAAGGGTTCGTTGACCGTCGAATAGAAGCCAGGAGCGTGACTGTAACCGTACCCGTGATCGTGATCCTGATCGTGATCGTAGCCGTAACCATGACCGACTTGCGGATCCTAAGAAAGTTCTGCTTTAGATGTTTGCACATCCGATATTAATAATATCGAAACTATTAGGTTGTAACATAACTACATTTGCATTTGTGACTACTAAGATATTCTTTTTTTATAAAGGAAAAAGGATATTTGATAATAACTGATCTTTTATTTGCTAATGAACAGTAACAAATTTTGATCAAACCTAACATAGCAACGAGAAAACGAAGGAAGGAAGCATAGATGAATGAATTAGAACTATTTAAAGTACATGCGTATGTGTGTACATATGTATTTTGTACAGCATAGAATTATTAAACAATTTTCAAAAAAATAATCATTAATCAATTCTCTCCTTGGTCATTCAATTTTGTTACAACGAACGGTGTTGCATTCATCTCTGTTTATAAAATAAGGTAAATGTATTGTTTATGTTTTGCAAAATTGTTAAAACTGTGTGCAAATGCACTGTGTTTCATCGTTTCTTTTGTTGAAAAAATAATTCACATATATATATATAGTCGAACGAATACTTTTGTAGATCAATGACAAAAATATGATAGCAAACGTATTCTCTTAACCGGGCCTATATAAGACCTTATAAATATTATTTTTTATATATTCTTAAAATAACTTTAGAAGATATGTCTGAAATCTGATACATACATATATGTAAGTCTGCTTGATATGGAACTGGAAATACATAATATACATAGATGGCTCACTCCATTTCGATTACGGAAATAGTTTAAACCTCAAAAGCGGGAATTTGTCAGAACGTTTAAAAGGTAATATGGTAGACAACGATGTTTAACAAATATTTGCAATTTCATAAGTTGAATATCATTTGAGAAATTATTTTTACTGTATAACGTGTGTGTCTGAACGATCATATACATTTAATACGAATTATATATGCATTCAACACTAATTTCCTACTTAAATACGAAATTTAGAGGTTATGTCACGTGCAACCTACTTGTGGGCGCATGCGCAATAAAAATTGTTTAAAAACTAAAGAGTTCTACATCTCATAGTATATTTATGATTGTAATATTCGAGAACACTACTGTATATGATATCTTCTCATTTGTGGTACACTGTATTATTACGTTATCAATCATCTGGCTTTCGTAGCTTTAATTGGTCACGTACTTTAAATAATGTTAAATAGTTACATTCTACGTTATTACACATTTTTTTTTGCCTTCTGTATATGTATACAGTGATATTACTGATTATTCATAATTGAGAAAAATCTGTGCAGAAGAAATTACTGTCGTAAAAACGATTAATTTCAAATGTACACAATGTTACGATTATTTTGTGAATAATTAGTAACAACAGA